GTTTACTAACTCTATTTGGTTCAATTTTGGGGAAATGCAAAAAGTATTTGGGTTAAAAGGATTTTTCGAAATACAAATAATGTTTTGTAAAATATATTTTAAAAATACATTGGGAAGCAACTTTGACCGAAATGCCATTTAGTAAAAACTACACTTTGTAAAGAACTTTTGCTATTTTTTTTAAAAAAAAAAAGTCTCAAACTATTTGCTGGCGAGCCAAATTGTCCACCGGCCAACCTTAGGCGAAGCCCGAGTCGCCGACCTCAAGCAAGGGTGGCGGTGGCTCGTTAGTAGTTGAGGCCTTTGCCGGCTAGCTAAGGTTTTTGAGAACATTTCCGAAATTATAAAAGCTGAGCGGAGACAAAGTTGGAAGGAAAAAAAGTATATTTGTATTCTAAGGATGCTACTTGCCAAAGTACCTGTGGACATGCCTTTGGCTTTTAGAAATGCAAATGTACTTTCCCAAAGTTAAGCAAAAAATGATCCAAACATCATTTCCATTTGGTCAAAAGACTTTAGAGCTGCAAAACCCTTTTGGAATGCTGAATCAAACGGAGCCTAAGATCTAGCAATCCTCTTGCTAAAGAGTCTTCAACTCTATGTTACCTCAACAAGACTAAAGCGATCTCCCATTAATCTCTTACTTCACGCTGGCCACCATAAAACGGGAGATGGAAAAAGGATTAGGTTTCTAAGGAAAAAGTGGACGAACTTTGTACATTTTTAGGCAACATCATTTCTGCAATAAGGAAAAGAATATATTATATGGTAAATGAAGAAAAAGCTATCTAGTGAAAAAGATAAAATAAATGAAAAGAGACTGCAAAAGCTTGCAAGACGTTAATCATTCTTAGAAATCTTCTCATGATCCGCAATGATGCTTGCATGAAATTCATGCAAAAAGGAAGATGATATCATTGCAATTTGGTATGCAGTCTCTTTAATATCCAACGGACATTCCACCTCTCTACCATTCAAATCGATATGTCTTTGCAATCTCTCATTGACATATTAGGAAGATCGAAACTAGACTCTTCTTTTGCTCGCCGTCGAAGGAAAAATAGTGTTAAGACATAAAGGTTTCAACTCATTGAAGAGGTCACAAAAACTGTATAATTATGGTTGGAGTAAGTAAGCCCCTGCAACACACATGTAGCTAGCTTGGGATAATTGTTTTCGAGTTTGAAAATTTAGGCCTATCATCACTAAGAATATAATTAGGAGCTAACCATACTTTCAAATACCCTTTTGTTTGGTGAAAAGAATAAAAAGGGGAAAGTATTATCAGACTATCTATATGCAGTACTCACTATGGTTAAGTTTAGGGCAAAATAGGGAGGAAAGAAATCAAAACCATAGGGGTTGACCGAGTCATCTCCACAATTACAGTGGGCATATCTTATTATCCCTGGAAATGATAGTCTAGCTACCTTTCTTAGCTTAATCTAGCTTAAGTAAATTCACTTTTGTTTAACTGTGAGGTTCTCTTTTATTTATGGGTTCGGCGGCTTCGATTACTAACTTTTCAAACTTGGAATGAGGCGACTCCATATAGATTATTACTCGTCCAAACTATTAATTTGGTTTTCCACGTCGTACATGATATGGTTACAACACGGTCTGCAAAGCTTTGTTATGATCTAGGTTTCGATTCTTTAGTTGCACAACCTTTTCATGGACACGCCATAGAGAACTACAACCAATTCAAACAAATGGAGGAATGCAAATCAATCGACGAGTTTAAGCAAGTACTGTAATACTACCTAGATTGAAATAATCAAAAGCAGAAAACGTGCATCTCTTTCAATTGATTAAAAAGTTGATTATGACCAAAAAACATAAACTTTCATTGCGCGCAGAGAGAGAGAGAGTAATGATCAAGGAGTTAGATTTAAGATATTGTTAAGAGATCTCGAATCCCCAACTCCATCCCATGTTTGCTTTGGTGATGTGATTTGGTTTTTTGCTCGGGTAATTGTATAGCTTTTTTCCCAAAAGCAGAGCCATATGCCAACCATGAACCAACTCTCACCAATTTAATTATGCACAAAACCTGCTTAAACAAACACTAAAGAATTCTGTTATCTTTCATCGTTTACCTATAGGGCATATAAATCAATAGGGACCTCCTATGAAAGGGCACACCACCACACGTGGCAATGCCTTACTGGCCAAGCTCTTGGCTTCCTCATAATCTAATTGGAGAAATTGGTACAAAAGGAATCTGATCCTCTTTTCTTTAATAGGGGCTGATGGGTCTCTTATATCATTATTGTCTTCTTCTTTGGACTCTTCTTTCCTCAAAGATCCTTGTTCATGGTTTCTTGTACAATGCACAGAATTGTAATGATATGAGACTGCATGCATGGGTTTGTGTAATCAAAAACAATACTTACTTAGCTTTCTTTATTCCCCATTTCTTTGTTAATACTCCTAGTGAAGCTAACCCAATCACTACAAATCATTTTGGGTCCTTACTTGGTCAGTTTTATAAAGGGTGTGTGGGGAGTTCAAATACAAGTTAGGGTTTTCAGAGAGAGAGAGAGAGAGAGAGAGAGAGAGAGAGAGATTCCATTATTTTAAAAAGCTTAGGTCTCTGTGATTGCAAGTCCCTATGCCAACTAATAATGACATGAGAGAAAGAGAGAAGGAAAAGGGACAAGTCCTTCAGTGGCATGAGATGTAAAATGCATGTAATTTTGGAGAGGAATAATTCATCCATGAAAAGCTTAGTTTAAAGAACCAGAAATCATATTTTAAAAAAAGAGGAATTAATATGGTCAAGCCTGAGAGTTGCAAGTCAAGCTAGTGTCCCATCATCAGATGTGGTGTGAGAAATGAAAATTTTCCTCACTCGGGCAGGTCAAATTTAGTGGGTTGCCTAGTTTTCTTAGATTAGAACAACCTACTTAGAGTTGGCATGTTCAGATTCACTATAAATACTAACAAAGGATTACATTTGACTCGTATATAAGTGGACTATAAATTAATCCAAGTTTAATCAGACCTACATGTCTACTACAGAGGTTTATTTAACCTGACAATGACAGTGAGAATATGATTTATTAATCTATAAACAAAAAAGAATCATACAACAAAGGACCTAATCTCCGGGCATCATTTATTGATGTTTCCAAATTGCAACATGTACTCTCTATATCGAAATCCCCCAGGTGTTCTAACTTTCTTTGTTAGATACCCTTTTGCTCGGTCAACACGCACCTTTATATATAGTATGTGAAGGTTGTATGCATAAATTTCATATTGGGTGTAGGACCCGTATGCTCACACCTAGAGGGAATTGTTAGCTCTATTCGCGTCTTCCCACCGTTTAATATATCCAAAAATACATATTCATATCTAATAATAACTCAATCCTAAGATATAATAACATCAAATGTAAAAATATAAATATGTTTCTTATCATTTCTACACCTTTACGAAAGATTTGTATAGCAAAGAGAAAATCATATAAAGTTCAATACATAGTATTTACCTAAATACTTTACATGGAACCGTGTATCTTTCTACAAGGTACATCGTGGTATGATTCCAAATCCTGAAACTTGCTTGTGCTTACCGATTTTGAAACTCTGGAGTATAAAACCTATCTTGTGATCTCTAATACACATCCCCATATCTAATTTGCAGTGCCGATTACAAAGATGGCACTAGGGCATGATGCTAAGGGCTTTAGGAGATGCTTTGATTTCTCGCTTTGGCGTATCAAGAAATAGTATTGAATGGGATAAGGCAATATAAGTGTGGGTATACGAATATTCAGTTAAAGTTTTTATAGACCAAGGATGAGATTCAGCATAGATAACAAATCAAATAAAGCTAAATATTGCAAAAATATCTTAAACAAAGAAAAAATAAATCCCTAATATAAGGTGACGACATCCACCATGAATGTCAGAGAGAGATGCATTTCCTAATGCGATGATGATTGTCCCACAATGGTTATTTCTTTGTGTTTGTAGTTTGTAGTGACGAAGCCGAGGTCACTTGCTATGGTAACAAAACGATTTATTTTTCGAAATCTTTCTTAAAACTCGAATAACTTATTCGGGATTTTAGCGAGACATTTCTCATTTAAAGTGCGCTGCCATCCGCATGATATGGTCAATTTTAACCAATCCCACTCCTTATCCGGGGCTACTAAACATGTCTTTAGAGGTATTGATTAAGCTACAGGGCTTAGGGAAGAAATTTTCTGAACACTGGGGAAATAATGATCATTAGCAACAGCTCTTGGGACACTAATCACGCTGACAAATTGCCATCTCCCTCCAGTCAAACAGCACGAATGAGGACAGATAAGACGGTCAAGTTATCATCATGTCTAGAGATACACCGCTAGATCTCTCTCTCTCTCTCTCTCTCTCCTCACGAAGCAATATAAGATACGCTGCGTGACCCGTATGGCAACCTGGGGCTTCTTCCTACAATTAAACTAATCAGTATCAGGGCTTTCATTTAATATAGCCAACGAAGAGCTAGATCTTCGGTTCCTCACTTCCCTCTTGACCAGCTGAGCAAAGCAAGGGACACACCCAATTTAAAAACCCAAATGCAACTTTGTTCTGCACATCTCCCAAGACAAATATTTCTTTTTTAAAATTGCAGGACAATGTGAAAAAGATAGATGAGCAAGAGAAAAAAGCACCTAATGGGCAGAGTTGGCAATGTCAGTCGCTTCCCCTAGCTCGAACTGGCATTATTACTATTTACATGTTTAAAAAACAGAATCCCCCATTATTATTATGCTGAATAAAGTTAAAAAATGAAAGGACCACCCTCAAAGGAAAAGCTTAAAACACAAAAGCAAAGAGTGGTGAAGAAGGCTTTGGCTCAATTGTTCATTAGTTTAATTGATAAATTTTTTGTTTAGTTTACAGTAACAGTGGCGGTGGTTAATCATCAAGAGCTCTCTTTTTGATGCAAGCGTGGGTATAAATGCAGGGAGTTTTGCGCTTGCTGGCTTCCCTTTCCTTCTCTCTCTCTCTCTCTCTCTCTCTTCCTTCACTTTCTCTCACTTTCTTTTTTGTGTTGACAGTGCCTGTGGCAGATTTTTCTTTTTCCCCTTCCCTCTGAGCTAGAAAAGAAACAGGGGAGGGTGGGGGGGTTTTCGAGTGGCGAAAAGCTCGAATTCGATGGAGTGTTCCGTGGAAAGATTTTTGAAAATGGAGGAGAGATCAACAAAAGCAGAGCAGAATCTGAAATGGGTATCTCTCTCTGGCTACTTTTGGCCGGTTTTCTTTGAAAAGAAAAAGTTCTTGGGGCTCTCTGCTTTAAGGGTTCTGTTAAAATTCTGACTAGGGTTTTGAAGGCTGCATTTATTGTACTGAAATCAATGTGTGGCTTTCTTTTGTTTTTTCACCGATTGACTGCTTCCTTGGACTTTTCCTCTGTGTTCCCTCAGGCTCTGTGTCTGTGTTCATCATCTTTTTTTCTCTGAGTTCGCCTATCTTTTTCGTGGTGAGGGCTTCATTTATGTCGTTTGGTACTTCAATGTTTCAGTACATAGCTTTTCAAAAATGTTTGCACTCAAAAGTTCGTGACGAGTCTGTGATCTCTTTACACAAGTCAGTCGTGTTTCTTTTGTAACTTTGATGCATATGCCTTCACAGCCCTTGTCCCTTTGGTTTGCTTCATCTTGTTACATTTTCTTGTATACTGTGTGTTCTGGATATGCTCTGTCTTTGTGGAATATGGTCCCATCCCACTTTTCCAGTTTCATTTTTTTCTTTTCCTGAATTTCTTGTTGCTCCATTGTCTGGTTGAAGTTTAATTTGTTGTTCTTACAATGTATTGTTTCCAAAATTTCACATCCTATGTCTTTTTGTGCGTATTGTTGGTTAACTGGGTGTTAATCTAATTTCCAGGTTCGCAATTTGTTCTGCTAGAGGCCTAAAGATAGGAAATAGATTCCGGGTTTTCTCTTAACAAGAGAAACCTTGGAGGTAGAGAGATAAGAAATAGATTCCGGGTTGCTTAACCTGAAAAATTTAGGCGGGACAGAGACCTCGTGCTGGCTGCTACTCTTTTGATCGCCCAACACTGATGGACTCAGATGACAAGGATAAGTTTGAGCCGGCTAAACAGAATGAGGATCCTATGAACTTCAATTCAGCTAGCATTTCCTCGGACTGGCAATTCTGCAGTGCAAATCTTTCAAGCGCGCCAATGAATTTGGTTAGACCAGGCAATTCAATGGCTGTTTGTAGGGAAGATCTGATTGGTTCCTCTTCTTGTTCCTCTGCTCCAATGGCAAACTCATTTGGCCAAGCCTTATGGGAGCACCCCTCCACCATGGAAAACTTGGGTTTTGTTAATATCTGTGCCCAAAACAATTTAAGCACTTCAAACCTTCTGGGATTTAGTAAAGTTGCTCTTGAATCTGTTAGAGGCGATATAGGATGGAATCCACCGAGCTCCATGCTCAAAGGAGGCTTGTTTGTGCCAAGTGCACTCGGAACACTCCCAATCCCAGATGGCTTACCTCATTTTCCCGCCGACTCTGGATTTATAGAGCGTGCAGCTCGTTTCTCGTGTTTTAGTGGAGGAAATTTCAGTAGTATGGTGAACCCTTTTGGAATTCCTGAAAACGCTGGTCTTTACCCAATTGCTGGGGGTTTGGTGCCCGGGCCACGGGATATCTTCCCGGCTGGCTCCCCAAAGCCTGTGCCTGGTGCACAAAGCGAGAAGAATGAGATGAACGTTGAAACTTGTAGAGATGTTTATTTGGCTGCTACTCAGGGAACTTCTCAAGGGAGCCCCTTAAAAAATGAGGGTGAAAGTGAGAGCTTTGCTAGATCTCGTGGTGAAGCAAAACAAGGTGCCACCGCTGGGTCCAGTAATGCATCTGATGGAGCTGAGTTCAGTGGCGGTGGAGGTGGTGGTCAAGATAATCTGTCCATGTTAGAGGGTACCGGTGGTGAAGATTCTGCTAAGGGTTTTGACTGTAAAAAGAGGAAACGGAGTGGAGAGGTAATTTTTTGCTACTAATACTTATCATTTGTTTCATATGAAAGTCATCTCACCCGCATGGTTTAATTGATCTGCAAATAGGATGCCGAACTTGATAAAGCGAAAGGGGCCCCTCAGCTTGCTGAAACCGCAAAAGATGACGGTAGAACTCAACAGAAACTAGAAAATAACCCCAGCTCGAACACCAGCAAGGCCACTGCAAAGAATAATAAACCGGGAAATCAGGGTTCAGATCCCCAAAAGGAAGAATATATTCATGTCAGAGCCCGAAGAGGCCAGGCAACTAATAGCCACAGTCTTGCTGAAAGAGTAAGGTTCCAACAAAGAAGTAAATCCATTAAAGCTAACTTTTTTCTGAAACTTGGTTGGACTGATTAGTGTTTATGGCGATTGAAGGTGAGAAGGGAAAAGATCAGTGAAAGGATGAAATTTCTCCAAGATCTGGTACCTGGATGCAGTAAGGTAAATCTTTTTCATGGAAATCGCTTCAACGGTTATTTAACTCAAAGAATGCCACTACATTCTTATGTTGCCATTCTGGCTTGTAACAAGAGAACTGTGTGGTTTTTTCAGGTCACTGGCAAGGCAGTAATGCTGGATGAAATAATCAACTATGTACAATCACTTCAACGACAGGTTGAGGTACTGGAAGAGGACATGTTGACATAAGTTTTCTTTTACATTACACAATATTGTTTACAGTCGTCTCTTTGACATCTACTTTTCTTATATGTCTTAGCGATTAATCTGTCTGTGTATTTAGAAGCATTGACATTAAGTGGCTTGCTCTTAGGATGAGAGTTAATACTTTTTGAGCTACTGCAAATGATTCGTGATTAATATAAGTCCTTTAGATGAACCGGGTGTCTGAAATTTCATGGTTTTATATCTCATACTTGGTTTGGTTGTCTCCTGTTTTGCAGTTTTTGTCCATGAAACTTGCCACGGTGAATCCAAGGCTGGAATTTAACATTGAAGGACTCCTGGCTAAAGATGTACGTGATGCTATATCAGATGCTACTGTACTGTTACTGTGATTCAGGGATCTACTCAATTCTCTTCAATAACCTTCTTTCTTCTTATCCGAATATGAAATTCCATGCAGCTTCTTCATTCAAGAGCTGGTCCTTCATCTACTTTGGGACTTTCGCATGACATGCCTATGCCCTTTCCTCCAATGCATTTACCACCACCCGGACTTATTCAAGGAGGTCCTACTGGTATTGGGAGACCTGCTGATCCATTGCGGAGAGCCATGCAGAACCAGATGACACAATTGGCTGGAGGTTTTAAGGAGCCTTCTCAGGTACTAACTCTCTTAAGAAGTTCCATGATGTGTTGCTTCAATTTCATGTACTCTCTTTTCTTGGCAATTATGAGAGTGTTGATTGTGAACTATAGAGTGTGGGACAATGATCTAGAAAGTTATCCCTGAAGTCGGCCCTTGATTAGTGGGAAAGGCTTTGATATTGCTGTTGTTTTCATATTGTTCTAGTGTAGAAAAGGCTTGAAAATTTTGATCTCCTTCCAGAAGATGCCCAACTAAATTTTCTGCACTTGAATCTTATTTTTTTGTCTATTTCCAAAGAGCTAGGTGTCCTATACTGTAGTTTTAAGTTCACAGGCAGATGGGGAACAAACTAGTGGCTTGAGTCGATGACAATATCTCTGTCCATCTACAGTAATAGGGCCTCAACTGCCAGTGAGAAATCACCTGCTAAGCTTAATAATCTTTCATCTGCTTGACGAATTTAGAGAAATTGGTGCCACTCATTTCAATGAGATCTGTGTTTCTAGATTTTTACATAGAAAAAAGCAATCTCCATGTTCCAAGAGAGTCTTGTTAATTTGAACCACTCAGGTTGCTCTTATGATGTACTTATTGTCGCCGAAGTCTCCATGATCACAATTTGGTTATTCTTACTCCATGACATTTTTATTGCAGCTGCCACACCCATGGGAGGATGAGCTGAACAATGTTGTCCAGATGAGCTTTGTGGGGGGTGGTGGTGGTGGTGGTGGTGGTTCTGGTGCTGCCCCGAGTGGTCAAGATGCAGAGGGTATTCTTATGAGTTCATCTCAGCTAAACTTACTTACTCTCACCTCTTTTGAGCAAATTACGAAGCTCCCAATCTTCATTTTGCAGGGCCTCTCCCACCACCAAGTCACACAAAAGTTGAACTGTGATGTGATTGCATCTATATATTATGCCATATAACATCCTGTACAGCTTATCTTACACTCAACAGCAACCACAGGAGGTGGAAGAATTTGCTAGGCCTCCCAATTATGTTGGCTTCACCATTATATTGTCCCATATTGGAGGATCAAGCTTTTGATGTCGCCTCACGCAAAACAATGGAGGATCACTATGTAGTTCGAGCATACGACCTCTAGCAGATTGTCGGTGAAGTGGTTTCCGATACTTAGCCCCACAAATTGCATCAAGTTTTTGATTATTCGTAAGATTGGGTTAGTCCTACATTGATGCAATGATACTTGCCGTCGGGGGCCAGGGAGTGGATTCGGAGAGGTTGTGGTTTGATCTTCTGATGACGTGGGGAGAATCAGGACTTTTAACTGGGGGGCTTCTCTTCTCCTCGGTAACAACGCTAAATTTAGTGAGCCGCGGCAAATTCTACGAGATTGCTATGCAAATCATGCCCATCTTGGCAATTCTTAAATGATGATATATATGAGATGAGAGATGCATTCTGATTTCTGATTCAGTTGATTGATCACTTTTGCATGATTGTTTACGATACTGCAATGAAGACTGATCTTTTAGTATGGTTTATAGAGAATGTCTATAAAGTAGCTTCTCTGCATAGAGCATCCCTTGAATACTAGGACTTAGAGTTGTCAAAATGGGTCTTAAATCCATATATGATCCATTTAAAAATAAATGGGTCATATATGGGTCACTTTAATTTTAAAGAGTCAACCTTAAATGGGTTTTAAATTTTAAAGTTTAAAGATAAATGGGTCTAAATGGGTTGAGTTTGGAACCCATGTCCAATCCACCTACTAGACCCATCCACACGCTCTCTCCCTCTTTACAAAAATGTTTAAAAAAAATTGAAATTTAATTATTTGTTTTCTCTTTTTCTTTTTTTCTTTTTTATTTCGGCCGGTGGTCGGCCCCGGCCACCGGGGCGGGACGACCTCGCCGGCCTCGGGCGAGGCTTGAGCCTAGCCGGCCTCGGGCGAGGCTCGAGCCTCGCTGATCTGGCGAGCCTCGAGCTCGACCGATTCCGGCGACCTCGAGGCTCGCCGATCCCGGCGAGGCTCCGGCCTCGCCAAGGGCGAGACTCAAGCTCGCCGGCCTTGGGCGAGCTCGACCTCACCGGATCTAGCGAGGTCGAGCCTCGCCGAGGCGGCTAGCTAGCTCGAGCCGCCGGCCTCGGGCGAGGCTCCACCTCTCTAGATCCGGCGAGGTCGAGCTCGCCCGAGAACGGCGAGCTCGAGTCTCGCCAGATCGGCGAGGCTGGAGCCTCGCCTGTGGTCTGTCGCCGGCCACGGCGGTTAGGGATCGGCTAAAAATAAAGGAAAAAGAAAAAATAATTAAAAATTCGATTTAAAAAATATTAATTTTTTTATTTTCTTGGATAATGACTTTATGGACAATATTTTTTAGAAATGTCGCATTTTTCGTAAAACAAATAGAACCTCAATTTTAAAAAAAATTATAAAAATTTTTCACTAGCTTTATATTGCATAAAATGTTTTAGCAGTATAATTTTAAAAAAAAATCATAAGAAACAAGTATTCCTAGATTAGGTTAAAAATAAAAGTGTTTTAGCAATATGGGTTGGGTCGGGTCGGGTATGGATCGAGATATTTACACTATGAATAAATGGGTCATAAACGGGTTAATGGGTCAATTTGGGTCGGACCATTTATGACCCGACCCGACCCATCCGTTTAACAGGTCTATTAGGACTCAAACATGTTGGCAAGATGATATTGACCTTTGCATTTTTAAATGTTTTCGGATTCAATTTCGTGTTGGTTGAACGAGTGCTACTCGCGAAAAATTACCTTTTCGCGAGGGTACAGATTCAATCTCATGGTGGAGCTTTAGAGTATCGGGGGTTATCATATGATCGCAAGTTGCAACTGTAGAAAGGATGAAAACATTAGCCCTAAAAGTTAGCATAAACCTTCTTAGGCACAATGAAGGTGCAAGAAAGCTATCCTTTATGTGAAACAAGGTAGTGGAAGAGAGAGACTATGAAGAATAGGCTTGGAAGTCTTGACCAAATTTTTTCTGATTCAAGTATATCCTTATTTTGGCTAAAACAAAAGAAAATTTCCAAATAAGAATCTGAAGTGGGAGCCTTTCTCTCAAAAAAGGTTTAGAGTGGACCTTGTTTCAATGGTTGATCATAGAGAGAAAAGGTTTAGAGTGGACCTTGTTTCAATGGTTGATCATACCGATGGTGAGTAAAGCTTCCAATGCTACGCTGCCGTCTTCAATTTTTTTTCTTGCGGGAACCTTTTTCATGTAATTTTTCGAATTTTTCATAATTATTTATGGATTTTAAAAATATTTACAATATTATATGGTCTGCAATCTTCGGCACAATATAATACAGTATATGATGGCCATATTTCATATTAAATAACCTTGTGAATAAAGCCAAGAAGTATGATCGGATCATCTATTAACTAAAATAATAAAAAAGGATTCCTTTATTCATTAAAAGATTGGGTGAATTCCCTAAAAAATCTCTAACTTTAGGTCAAGTCCCAAATCTGTCCCGAACTTTTTTTTGTCTTAGAAAGAACCTCAAACTTTAGGTCCAGTCCCAAATCTGCCCCGAACTTTTTTTCTCTCTCAGAAAAAATCCCAAACTTTAAGTTCAGTCCCAAATCTGCCCCGAATTTTGTTTTGTGTAAAAAAGAATCAGCAAATTTCAATTTATTTTAAAAAAAATATAACCCTGTGATCCAGTTCCAACTTGACGTGGCACTTCCACGTCGATAACAAATTCACATCAGCAAAGTAATGGGGCGATAGGTACATACCGATATTGTATTTCCACTTCAATAACAAATCCAACCCAATAAAAATTATTGAAAATTCTCAAAAATAAAACTGTTCTAGGATATGAAAGGACGATAACAAATTCACCCCAAAAAACATTTTTTAATTTTAAAAAAAAACCCCAATTTTTAGGTTTAGTCCAAAATTGCCTCGAACTTTTCTTTGTTTAAAAAAAAGCCCCATTACTCTGTTGATGTAGATTTATTATCAACGTGAAAGTGCCACGTCAAGTTGGGACTGGATCACGGGAGTATATTTTTTAAAATAAATTGAATTTTAGTGATTTTTTTTACACAACAAAATTTGGGGCAGATTTGGGACTGGAATTAAAGTTTGAGAATTTTTCCGAGACAAAAAAAAGTTCGAAGCAAATTTGGGACTGGACTTAAAGTTTGGGGTTTTTTCTGAGATAAAAAAAAGTTCGAGGCAGATTTGGGACTGGACCTAAAATTTGGGATTTTTTTTAGACAAAAACAAATTCGGGGCAGATTTGGAACTTGATCTAAAATTTGTGGTTTTTTTTGGGAATTAGGCCTTAAAAGATTGTAATGATGCAGCCTTTTAACTTTAAAAGAAAAGTTGACTAAAATAGCTATATGTGTTACTATGTTTATAGTGTGGAAGATTTACTTGGATTCATCACAATTTTATTAGAGAGATCTAGAGGAAAACTCTGCCCTTCTTGTTCCTAGGATGCCAACATAGGACACATAGATGATAGCCATGCTCATTGGCAAGCCAAATTAAGTCCCATCATTTGATTTTCTTGAAAGACAACTCCAAGAATGGACCAATTACTTAAATTGGGTCGCCGGGTTTTCTCGAAAATTACTCAAAGCAAAATTCATTCCCATCACAAAAAGGTAAGGAGACAAATCTCGATGACCTTAACTTGTTAGAGGACTGGTAAAAGATCTGAATTGCACAGTAATTAAATAGTTAGTTGATTTCAAATTTAAAATCTTAAATAGTTGTAGGGTGTTAAATTAGACTTGGAATTTTTCGAGTTTTTTGTTATTTGAATTTTATTCGAGGGAAAACATTTTCAAAAAAATTTTCGAAATCGGTATGTAAATTCGTTGATAATTTTGGTATTTTTTTCTTGAAATTACTTATTTTTTTTTCCCGTTATGCGGCCTAAGCATATTTCTTCCGCCTCAGCGTGCAATAGAAGGACTTGCCAGACCTGTCCTCACTGAGGCTCTGCTCCGACAACCTCAGTAAAAACCAAGCCAAGAAGCTTCATTGTCTCACCATCAAGAGCTCGACCATTCCCGAGACCATCCTATCCGACACCCTCGCCAATAACTACTCGAAAATCGGCAATCTGAAGTACGCACGCCACGTGTTCGATCATATTCCGCAACCGGACATCTGCTCCCGGAACGCCCCCTCCTTTCTGCTCATGTGAAATCGGGGGATACCGGGTGGACGCGAGAGGCATTTGAATTGAATGCCGGGCAGGGATGGAGTGTCGTGGAACTGTGTCTTTTCGGGGTACGCGAACAACGGGGTTGGCGATTGAGTCGGCGAAGGCCTATGATGAGAAGTTTGAGAGATGGGAGCGCGAATTTGAACAGGATCACGCTCTCGACGATGCTAATATGTTGTCTTCAAGTAAGCATGGTGTGGATTTGGGTCGGCAGATACACTGCCATGCGGCAAAGTTTGGACTTTGGCCATGTGTTCTTCCATCAACTATATAGCATCACAGTGCAATCAGCACCCATTTTAATGGATAGGACTTTGGAACATAATTATTTGTCGAAAACTGAGATTGATGATCGCCTTTGAATCGTTTCTAATTCGGTATATCTCGAGTCCATTCGTACGCTCACACGGTATGATAGCCGTCCATTCGAAGTAGATATAACCCGGCAAATAGGCTGTCGTTGTTATTATCATTGTTAGTTGTTGTATCGTTGTTGTATTTTTTTTTTCCAGACTTGAATCAAGTCGGTTCGGCATAAGAAATTCCTATACAGTAAGGTACCTGAAATCGTCGTAAGAAACCCAATTCATAATCAATAATTGACCTCGACAATCGTAACTCACCTGTAAATCCATCTAAATGGTAAATTACTACTTTATCTTTGGAGTTTGCAAATTAAACTCAAAGTTATCGTACGACTCGAAGATCTTAATGATCGTCAACTTCTCTTGAGCAATAGCAAGCTAACCTAATATTATGGCAACCATCTCTTTTCCTATCCTTAACAAATTCATCGTTCCTTTCAAATTCGCAGTCGGCAAGCGACAAGAAGGCTTAAAATACCCGTTAGAATTAGGGGTATATAAACGGGACCGCCCGAACCGGGAACCGCTCAAATCGGACCGGACCAGCCGATTCAGTTCCGTTCCCGGTTCCAAAAAGTGGAACCGGTGTCCGAGCGGTCTGATTCCCAATTCCAAGGTGGGAACCGGACCGAACCAACCAATATATATATATATGCAGGCGTGAGCTACATTCTTATTTTAGATGTTTTGATTTTTGCTGTTTAGACATTTTAATGATGTCAGCATACATTTTTATTCCTTTTGAGCATGCTGATATCCTGTATGATTGGAGAATCTCACCATGTTTGGTTGGAGAATTTCTACATTGATCGGTTCCATTGGATTGGACCGGACCGACGGTTCCCGGTTTCGGTCCGGTTTCCGGTCCTAGAAATTAGGAACCGGTCCTTCCGATCTGATTCCTGATTCCACCTAGAACCAGACTGGACCGGGAATCGATCACCCCCGGTTAGAACCCTTCCTCTCTCGGTGGTGGGACGCCCCAGCTTGAGGCTGAGCAACGACGACCGGGTCGCGCTTGGTTGCGGCGGAGTCGAGGCTTGAGCAACGGACGTGGACTGCGCGCGGCGGGTTCGTGAGCTTTTCTGCAACATTTTATTTCCATCTCAGCATGCATTGAACGACCGGCCCGACTCCCAACGGACGTAGAAAATGTCTGCAAGCTCCAACCGCTACTGTTCCTTACTGAAGCTCTGCTTCGACACCCGCAATGTAAAGCAAGCGAAGAAGCTTCACTGCCTCATCATCAAGACCTTGACCCATCCCGAGACCATCCTGTCCAACACCCTCGTCGACACCTACGCTAAAGTCGGCAGTCTGAAGCACGCACGCCACGTGTTCGACCATATTCCGCAACCGAACCTCTTCTCCTGGAACACCCTCCTCTCTGCTTATGCGAAATCGGGGGACATCGCCAGAGCGCGAGAGATATTCGAATCGATGCCGAACAGGGATGGAGTGTCGTGGAACTGTCTCATTTCGGGGTACGCGAACAGAGGGTTGGTGATTGAGTCGGTTAAGGCCTACAATGAGATGTTGAGAGATGGGAGGGCGAATTTGAACAGGATCACGCTCTCGACGATGCTCATATTGTCTTCAAGTAAGAATCGTGTGGATTTGGGTCGGCAGATACACTGCCATGTGATAAAGTTTGGATTTTGGGCGTATGTGTTCGTGGGTAGCCCTTTGGTGGACATGTACTCGAAAGCGGGATTGATTCGCGATGCAAAGATGGTTTTTGATGGCATTCCTGAGAGGAATGTAGTCATGTATAATACAGTGATGACAGGGCTTTTGAGATGTGGGATGGTTGAAGAGTCCGAGCGCATATTTTGTGGGATGAAGGAAAGAGATTCGATCTCATGGACGACAATGATTACGGGATATATTCAGAATGGTTTAGAGAGAGAAGCAATCGACTGGTTCAGAAAGATGAGTTTTGAAGGCTTGACAATTGATCAGTTTACTTTTGGGAGTGTGCTAACTGCTTGTGGGAGTCTGGTGGCTTTGGAAGAAGGGAGGCAAATCCATGCATATGCAATCAGGACTGATCACACTGACATTGTCTTCGTAGGTAGTGCTCTCGTTGACATGTATTGCAAGTGTAAAAGGATCACATATGCTGAAAAAGTCTTCAGAAAGATGACCATTAAGAACGTTATATCATGGACAGCAATGCTTGTGGGGTATGGTCAGAATGGGCTGAGTGAGGATGCTGTCAAGGTCTTCTGTGATATGCAGAAAAATGGCATTGAGCCCGATGAGTTCACACTTGGGAGTGTGATTAGCTCGTGTGCGAACCTAGCAAGCGTAGAAGAGGGTGCACAGTTTCATTGTAGAGCCTTGGTTTCCGGCTTTATTTCATTTTTGACAGTTTCAAATGCTGTCATCACCTTGTACGGTAAATGTGGAAGCATAGATGACTCCGATCGGCTGTTCAATGAGATGAGTATCAGGGATGAGGTTTCCTGGACAGCACTCGTGTCATGTTATGCTCAGTTTGGCAAAGCTAAGGAGACCATAGATTTGTTCGAGAAGATGTTGGCCCAGGGATTGAAACCAGATGCTGTCACTTTCATTGGTGTTCTTTCAGCGTGCAGTAGAGCAGGATTAGTTGAGAAAGGACAAGTATATTTTGAATCGATGGTCAAAGATTACAGAATTAGCCCGATTGCTGATCACTATACGTGCATGATTGATCTTTTTAGCCGATCAGGAAGGTTAGAAGAAGCCAAAAATTTTATACACAACATGCCCTTCCCTCCTGATGCAATTGGTTGGGCGCAGCTGCTGAGCTCATGTAGACTTCACGGCAATATGGAAATTGGGAAATGGGCAGCTGATTCACTGATAGAATTAGAGCCACAGAACCCAGCGAGCTATGTTTTGCTCACAAATATCTATGCAGCAAGAGGGAAATGGGACTTTGTGGCCCAATTAAGGCGGGGTATGAAAGAGAGATCAATCAAAAAGGAACCAGGATGTAGTTGGATCAAGTACAAGAACAGAGTACACATCTTTTCAGCTGATGATCAGTCGAGTCCTCATTCAGAACTTATAACTGCTGAGCTGGATAAGTTGACTGCTAGAATCATAGAGGAGGGGTATGTGCCAGACATGAGCCCAGTTCTCCAGGACGTTGAGGAGTCAGAGAAACTGAAGATGCTACATCGCCATAGTGAAAGGCTTGCAATTGCTTTCGGATTAACATATATCCCTTTAGGCCTCCCAATACGAATTTTTAAGAATCTTAGGGTTTGTGGAGATTGTCACAATGCAACAAAATACATATCTAAAGTCACTCAGAGAGAAATAATCGTGAGAGATGCGGTTCGTTTCCATCTTTTTAAAAATGGAACATGTTCATGCGGAGATTTCTGGTGATATCTTCTCGGTATGATATTTGTTCGAGGGTATAAGACTACCTTTCAGGTTACCATGAATGACAGAGATTTTGTTTGACATGGATAAAAAGGTTACTAAAGCATTTAGCTTTTTCAGCATCATCTTCATAGCTTTTCAAAGCTATCACGCCAAGGGCAGTGAGTATTTCCTATGAAAATTTCCTGGGCTTGATGCCAAAGTTGGGTTTTTCTGCAAGATCCTCGCGAAATACTTGATCCCAGTAAACCGAGGTAACCTTTTGTGGCGAGCATAATCTTATTTTGGTGAGGCAGTGCATAAATTGTAGAAAGCTCTTTGTTTTATCAGGAGGTGTGCTGAGAAAGAGGAAAGAGAGATTTTCTTCAATCATAGTTTTGGCTACTTCTTGCTCTCTCAAGACATGGAGGTACTAAGGAAAGGGGTTATCATTTTCAAATCAGAATTACTTGCATTTTCTTTTGAACTTTTTGGCTGTACAGCTAGAACGACGATTATTGTTCTCTGTCAAATTATGGATTTACAACATGGACCCAGATGTGCCTCGAACTCCTTACGGATGTTAAAAGCTGACTAAGACAGCAGTTTGAAGCGATAGCTGCTTAACCTGTGGCGATTCATTTCCATGTAAAAAAAAAAACGCCACAGAAGGAGCAGATCTAAACAATGGGCGATTGCTGGTCATGGGAATTTCCTCCGGATGAGAGAAACTATCGCAGGGCTGATTTGTAGGGGAATGTTTGGTCAGAAGTCTTCACGTTTTGGAGTTTCTCTTCTTTGTCCAAGGATTAGAATGATTGCAGAGACAATAACAGTGAGTCATTGAGGCAGTCTACCGCTTCCATGTCAGAGGAATGTACAGCACAAATACACTCAGTAACTCTTGCAAAGATGATCACCTATCAATGCCGCAACCACCACAATATTGGGTAACTCTTCTTCTAGTGCACCAAGCAAAGGTGACGCCATAAGCCAAATTTTTTGTCACTCATTATTGAGTCTCTCCGGGAGAGTCCTGGTTAAGTTCTTTATTTGTTTATGAAACAAGCACAAATGAAGCAACAAAAACGATATAGATGAATAAAAGTGAACAAGAAGAAACAAAATGTGGTACCGAATTTTTTGACCAGTGATTTTAACTTGCGCTTGCTGTTCTATGGTATCGAACATGGTTGATTATCAGTATCGCTCAACCCTTGCAGATTTTTTTTTTGGTCTGAAACCCTTGCCGATTACCAGTTGGATATGTTAGTTTCACTTTATGGTGCACTTACATTCACTTTCTGTGTGTTGGAACATGGTTCGCATTGCTTACTCTAGTACAATGACACCCACAGATCTCCGAACTTTCACCAACTATTCATTGTTGTCTCTTACCGACTATTCAGTGTTGTCCCTTGGAGGCTTGGACTTAGTTTGGTAAGCTCCTTGAGCTAAGGTCCTCTTTCATTCACGCTCCCTTAAAATTAAAATGGGCATTCCAATAGACGAGGTTCCCAGCACTACAGGGGTCTGGAGAGGGATTATTATACCGACACCGCAGCCAACTTGTGCTGTCAAACACAGCCGCATCCGAATTGGTTTTTATCAGCCCTGGCGGTTGCGGCTGCCATGAATGCTGCTCCTGGAGTTTTTGCTGAATTCGTTGAGATTTTGCTCCCCCAAATTCTTGGAAGGAGCTAATAATTCGTTGCAGTCGCAGTGGGATGTTGGAGGGGGTGTGATTTTGAATGATCTGGTTCCAATGCTCCCACAAACACCAATAAAAGAACAGAATGAAGACAGTACCATAGCTACATCATGGGAGGACCCCAAGTTTGGTTTGCTAGTTTTGTTCCTTCAAATTTAAAAGATTCATATGAAAGAATAATTGATAGTCTTCTCTTATTTATTTCAAAAGAGAAGTGTATATAGCTAATTGTGAATCTTTGCACTTTTGAGTGAGTTTTTACATGATTGTGTAGTTAAGCACATGCAAATCTTTAAGGGATAATGACACAAACAGTCCCTGAACTTTGACCAAATGTGCAATTTGGTCCATGAACTTTTAATTTGTTCAATGTAGTCCCTGAACTTTAGCCTAATGTTCAATTTGGTCCTTGAACTTTTAATCTGTTCAATGTGGTCCCTGAACTTTTAGCACATGTTCAATTTAGTCCCTGAACTATATGAAAATGTTCAATGTAGTCCTTGCACTTGAATTAATAGAAGGACTACATTGAACATTTTCAAATAGTTCAGGGACCACATTGAACAAATTAAAAGTTCAGGGACCAAATTGAATATCAAGCTAAAGTTCAGGGACTACATTGAATAAATTAAAAGTTCAGGGACCAAATTGCACATTGGGTCAAAGTTCAGGGACTGTTTATGTCATTTTCCCAATCTTTAATAATATTGACGATACTTTTCCAAGACAATTTTTCAGCGTTTGGTTGCTCAAGGACCCAAATGATTAGAAAAAGAGAGCATTGTTCAGTGATTAAGTTTTTCTTTTTCTTTTTTTGTCATGCAGTGATTAAGTTGAACAACAGGAAAATTCATGGACAACATTTAACAATTAATGGAAGTTCCTTCCTCACTAGTGAAACTGGAAGATTTTGAAGTGCAAAGGTTATACATTTCAAATCGAGAAGGGGCTTATTACTCTTTGTACAAGAGTAATCCGTGGCAAAATGCGGAGTGCAAGAATCACACTGGATTAGCCAATTCAATTAGCACATCCGCATTTAATGTAGTTGGAGGAAGCTTTATATGTAATGTTGAAACAAAAACTGGAGACTAATCAATTCTCATATCACAGTGGAAACAAATCGAAATGGGGCTACGACATTCAAGATTCTTGTATTCTCTGTGCATGGCAGTAATGCCTCGTATCAAAATCTGAAGGCAATAGAATGTTCGCAAAGAATATAGATCACAGGTACCTATCAAAAGTTGGTACACTAGTGTTTCCATTAAAAAGAATGGTACAATAATGAAAACTTATAAAATATCACCTACGACTTGGTGAGAAATCCATCTGTTATTTTCCGCCATCATCTGCAGGAAACAAGTATAGGACCGTCTGTCCATAGCAGTAATCAATTTTTACATACCAGTAGGATCCTTCAATCAAGTCCATCTGGTTCAATTCCTGGATCATTTGCAACACCACAATCATCTTCGAGAAGTATGAGCTTTCTTTGAAGTTGCTCATGACTGATTTCGTCAAATTCCGATTGCAGACCAAGCATGTCAAAGTGGCACTGGAGTTCTTCACGGATAACCCCTGCGTTATGCAACATCTTGCATCCCTTGAACCTCCGAGAACCTTAGGTCCAACAGGGATAGAAGTGAACTTCGATATTCGAGCTGGAAACATGAAGATCCTTCGAACGCATTTTCTGTATCTTCCCGGACATATATACAAGGATGTCATCATGTACATTCTTCATGAGGCCACATTTTGGCCTCCTTTCCTCTCTACCTCGATTATGTGCAAAGAAATTGCATCACAGGCCTTCAACCAAATGCCAAACTGCTGTCGCCTTCACTTGAATGACAGAGTTGCTAAGAACAAGTGATAACAGTACACGTGCCTTGCTTTAGTTGAAGAAATAAGGGGACTTCAGGACCTCTTTTAGATCAAAGTCTCCTCTCTCAGGCAATGGAGGGAAATGTGATTCGGGAAAAGATTTCTGAAAACTCTCCAACAACTGCACCCACAGACCCAAAGAATAAAAAGAGAATCATGATATACGATACACGGTGTTAGTCATGCCTCTAATATGCTCTTTTAACTCTACCAAAAGGAATGCACCCACAAATCGGGGTGCATTTGCTATTCAGAAAACTAGAAGCCTGAAACACTAAACCTTCGGAAGATCTAAATGAGAATATACTAAAACAATTATTGTGTTAAATGAAACAGATAAAAAGCATGTTCTAGTTGTAAGAGGACCTGCAATTGTATCTCAAAAGAAACCTTCTAAACACATCAATGTCAGTCATTGATGCTAGTTAATCCCAACCAAAAAGGGAAAAACAAAAAATACAGTCAGTTCCTGGTATCAAACTTCCCCACTGTTTTGGTGGCTTGCTATATAGAAAGATGCTGAGGAAGAATACTTTTTGCAATTTTATCCAAATGTCCATCTAAGTGGTCTCTGATAATAAATAGCTACATATCCCTCCTTCCAGAATAATTTACATGACACTACTACCGTTGTGCTGCATGATACATAACTATAAACTTTCAATCCAAATGTTCCATTTAAATCGTCTTCCAATCTGATTATCAATAGCTACACATCCAACTTTCCTGTAAAATTTACATGACACTACTTCTACGATTGTGCTGTATGTTACATAACTATTAACTTTCTCAAATTCCATAACTGAGCTATCTGATTTCACCATACCTGATAATTCCAGAGAAATTGACAGATATGAATGCATAAAAACGAACATGCACTTTTTTTTTGTTAACGAACATGCGCTTACATGTAGTAAGCATTGTTTACCAAAGTTCGAAAAACAGGACCGGTGGATGGACTGTTCAATTGATAGACCAAATGTTTAACTCAACTGGTCCATCAGCTTTCGTTTCAACTGCTGATTCATGGTGACATAACTAAAAGTGCTAAAATTGTTTGGGATCCCATCACAGTATTGCAAATATAAGATGGAAGAGTGAGCTTTACCCAACCTGGATCAACAGAAATTCAATTTTTTGACATTCTCACTTATTGCTTTTACTTTACCTACTGGAAGTTATATGTATAATATTTTCAACAATTTAGAAGCAATTTATGTTTTGTGCCAGGGTACTCTGCCCATTTAAGTAGTCACAAGTCTGATATTGATTTTAGCACCATTTATTCATACAACATACATAAAACTGCGAAAAACAGAAAGGAAGAAATGCCAATATGTAATAAACATTATAAGACAGCATTTCAGGATCGTTGAAACTGGGAAAGGTACTTACATTCTCGAGTATAGGTGCCTCATACAGTTCAACAAACTTCTCCCTCAGAATCTTGTTCATTTCATCAACATCGCATGCATGCGTCCAGTAAGAATCATGGACTCCTGTCACCAGATTGCCGGTAAAGAATAAGAATAATTCTCACAGAGGTTCAGAAATCCACAAAAAATAAGTAAATATGTAAGACCTGCAAAGTTTAAGCCAGCATCTTTGCATGCAACAGCAGTCATCATCATGTGTGAACCATCAAGGGAGTGGACAAAGTTCGGAGGAAAAGCCGTCCTCTGCCGCTTTACCATGACCTGGG